TATATATATTAAATTAAAGCTAATGTAATCTACTTTATTATGTAAAAAAAAAATTTCGGACTTTAATTTGTCTTCACGGTGAAAATGGCTACCGAATGCTATTTTTGTGTGAAAATTCTCGATTTTATTTTTTACATTTTTAACTTTATAATGCTATAACTTATTGAAAAGTGTATGGATCAACATATTTTTTTTATGAGAAATAATAATTTTTAATAATCCCTTTTTCATTCGATATACTTTATCTGAATCAGGATATTAATAACGAACTAGCAGATCATGTTGTTTTTGGAATAATCTTCCTATTTTTTTAAAATTAAACACTATTTAAAGATTTGCATCGAAGCGTTTTTTTTAATAGTGATTTTAATCACTGTCAGATATCATTATACTTGATCCAACTATGCCACGTCACCACTGTGCCGCGACCCCCCTGTGCTGGGTTTTTTANCTATATATTATGAATATAATTTTAGAGTTTTGAAGAAATAATCATGGTGTAAAATTATATATTTTACTTTTTTCTTCGTTGTTTGCGTAGACATTAGATTTTATTTTATACTCTTTATTTACGTTCGTAATGAGAATGTCCATAAATTCAATTAGTTGCTTTTTTGTGAGTTCATATTCTGTTGGAGAAAAATATTTTTCGTCTATTAAGCCTTTAATTATTGCAAATTTGAACATTTTCCAACTGTCTAGGAAGTCTAATATTTTTTCGCCTTTAAAATGATCAAATATTATTTGCATAATTTGATCTAAAACATTACATACGAATTTAGAATCTCGAAAAATATATGGTTCTTTTGGATAATTTTTAAAATTTTCTAAACTGTTTATGATGTTTTCTAGGCTTTTATTTTTTAAATGGATAAGGTTAAAAAAACACACATAGTATATATTGTGGTACTTAATATTACAATAAGTTAATTATATATCATACAATTAACCATTTTATTATAATAGATCATTACATATACATATTTTATTGATCGGTTAACCATAGCCATATTGTTGTAAGGGTAGAGCTATTTTAAATTTTCACTTCCAAAAAGATCTTCTATAAATTTTTTAAACAAAAAAAAACGTTTTATAATATACAAATAGGTTTCCATTTTCGCCTACTACGTGTATTGTTATTAATTCATAATTCAAATATTGGTTTTCAACTTCATATAATTGAATTTAATCATATAAAAAATTAGTAAAAACATTGATGACAAAAGTAAACTTGAAATGTTTAACATTATATCGATATTTATACTTCAAAATTTAAATGTTTTTGATTACTTTGAAAAATTAAAATTTTTGTGCAGTAGTTGCTATTTTGAATCCCCCCTGTGGGCAGATACAGGCTCAGATTTTTACAAAATTTATATCAAATGAAAGAAAAATATCTATAGTTTCAATATAAAAAATAAATATTTTGATTCGTTCAAAAGGTGTATAATTTGTATCTGTGATATTATAATTGTACAAATTTTATTTCTCTGATATTTTTTATAAATTTTATGATATATTATTTGTAATGAGGTTAAGAAATATTATTTTATAATATTATTTTAAAAATTTAGGTATTAATTATTAATACTTTTGGTATTAATTATTTAAATGAAGAAAATATACTATGATAATAAAATAGTATTTAATACCATAGTTATTTAAATTATTAAATAAATATAAGTTCCTATTACTTATTTTTAAGGATCAAATATATTGCAGTATTAGGTTATCTTATTAAAAACTTGTTTTAAGTAAAAGATTTAACACTATATCTGAACCCCAAGATTTTCTTAACAGGGAAAATATTTTTTAAATTATAAATTATATAGTAATAATGATGCTTATAGGAGTTTCAAAACTCGACATAATAGCCCTACTATGTAAAAATATATACAACATTTTATAAATATTTATTTTTATGTATCATTATATTAATCAACATATTAATCCAATTGTACTTACATTACAATAGTTTTATTGTTAGTTAAATTTCCATAATGTACATTTGGAATTAGGGTAAAATTATAAATAATAAATAGGCTAAATTTTAGTTGACTATTTCTCGTAGCTCTAAAAAACTGCTTTGAAATTTAAAAATATTTATAAATTTTATGTATTTTTTATTATTAAAAACAAATAATAAATATATTTTATGTAGTCTGAGACATATTATCAAAAAATATTAAGTAGATTAAAAGATATTTGATTTGTCAAAACATCCTAAAAAGTATATTTTGTATATTTGAAAAGGAGCACAAGTTTTTTATCATCATCAATTTTAATAAAAAGTTTTGAACAAAATAAAAAGATCATTTTAATTTATGATACATTATTTGGGAAAAAATTTGTTTGATCCCATTCTATCATAAATATCTAAGTAAGACTTCGTGTGCTATAATTTATAAAATCTATTGGGAATAACTATTTTTAAATTTATTTACCTAGAAAACTAAAATTTGATGTATTCCAAGACAAATGTAGAACTGTGTCGTACAAGAGGTAAATATTGCGTACATTTTTAATTAGTAATATTATTATAATTGAGAGAATTAAAGTAACATATCCATTTGTAAAATTCGATTATTAGTTTATTTCAATTATTATAAAAAAAATTGTTTTAATTCATTTGAATTTAATTTAATTTGAAAATATTGAAAGCAATTTGTTTTTAAGAAAAAAAAAAAATTCATTGGTTTAAATGGAAAATTTAATTTTGCTTTCAAAATGTGTTGATAGGCTTCTTCAATCCTAAACCCTTGTAATCTATTTTATATCGGATATCCTGAATTGAACTTATGAAATAAAAGCACAGGTCTATTTTTTCTCGCAGCAAGTGTTCTCATCTGTCATTAGCAGATAAATTATAGAAATTTAAATTTCTTTTTACTACCCCTTTGGTCATATGCCTTCTCAATTTCTACGAAAAATATGTAGTTTCGACTTTATTGGCATAAATTAGAATTGGTAGGCGTTTATATCAAAATCCAAAAGATAACTACAAAACTAGGAGGAATGTACAGAGTGTATGTATTACTATAGTTCGACATTTTTGAATATAAAAACATGTAAAAATATTAAATCATTGTAATATATACCATATTAATCATAGATTAAATGTGTATTTAATGTATATACACTGTATAAGTACAAAATTCTATTGCTTGTTCATTACTTTTTTATCCTTGGGAATGTTTTTTTTTACTGTGAAAGCTAATTTTTTTGGCAAACACGTACATTAAATTATCAGAATATCAAGTATGGATTGTATTCTATATTACAAAATTATATTACTGCCTACTGTTTTGGCATTGTCTGTCATATTTATGGTGTAATTCTGGAAGTCGTACAGAATAGTAATTGAACATTACATGACCAATTGTCAGTATATAAAGAACTACGATGTCTTGATAATTATCAGTTATCCAGCAGCTTTCAGCAACCGTAAGCATTCGTCAAGTCTTAGAAAAATACAAATATATTCAATATGAAATTCCAAGTAAGTTGTCAATCTTTCATATTATGTTATAATATCATATACTTTATTTTATGCGAAATATTTTCACAAAATTATTACAAGAAAAACCAACTTGCGTCTTAATATATATTATTAAATAATTATTGATAATTCACATTAATTCTATATTTACATTTTATTCGTTCATACATTTTGAATTTTTAACGTAAGTACTATTTTATTCTTTAGTGAATCAATAAATTATTTTATCTTTACAACTAAGTTTAGTAATTAATTGATACTAATATTAATACATAATATTCAACATTTTGTAAATTATAATTATTGTCATTTTTTAAATTAAACTATTTTATTTGTGCATAGTGATGTTAAATAAGTTGATTTTATAGGTGTCAATTGTATTGTTCGCTGTGGTCATGTGCCTAGTTTCTGCCGCCGAAGAGGCTAAACCTTCTTCTAACCAGCCTGCCACTGGTACCGACCGAAGCAAGCGGGGACTTCTTGCCGCTCCAATAGTAGCATCTCCTTATGCTGCCGTAGCCACTCCATACGCAGCTCCATATGTTGCTGCTCCATATGCCGCAGCTCCATACGCTGTCGCTGCTCCGTACGCCGCACCATACGTATCATCATACAGCACATATCCATATGTGGCTAGGACATTTGCTTCACCATATGCTTACTATCCATGAAGACACAAAACATAATTCATTCAAAATTCTTTAACAACTTTTATCCAGAAATTACCCAGTTTCAATTTTTTACATCTTCTATTTTGATTGTTAAAATATTAAGCCAAAATTGATTACTTTAATAATAAAATTCTATTCAATTATTTTTGATAAAGAAAACAATTTTTTTATTCGATTTGAATACATAATTTTTATAAATAGTAATAATGATATTGAAAATTAAATTGATGTTGAAAATACTTGCATAAAATTTATTATTCCATTTGTATATAATTTACATACATTTAATTGTACATTTTTATAGTAGAGTGTTAAGTATAAAGTAATAGTAGTAAGTGAGTTGAATGTCAATTTTAGATTATTAAAATATTTGTCGCTCAACAATTTAAAAATAATGCGAACAATTCATCGGCATAGGCAGGTTTGAACCTCGTACCCCAAGCGTGAAAGACATAAGTGTTATACCGACTCAGTAACCGTCGGATGATAAAAAATGGCAATTTTAGTTAATTCAAATTTCAAAGTTATTTTGCTTGACTTAATAGAAGCAAATAAAAATAAAAATTATGCTATCTCAATTAGATTTATATAATATTTATGAAAATCAGTATACTCACACTGTATTAGCTTCGATGCGAAGCTGAGAAGGTATTAGTTTTACTATGATATGTTTTTTTTTTGTCTGTTACCACTTTTTCTCAGCACTCACCAAACCGATTTCTTTCAACGATATGTCAAAAGATCACAAATCGTATCTAGTCGAAGACTAATACAGTGGACGCCGCTTATTGGACTCACGGTTAATTGACTCATTTGCTTATTAGACTCAAAACGCCTAGTCCCTATTTACACATATACTAACACACAGCAAAAAATTCGTATATTCGACTCACACACCGGTTAATAGGGTCATTTGAAAATTAGATAAATAAAAATAATGTGTACATACATTGAACAAACGTGCTATAAATACGTTATAAGTCGATCCTAGTAAAATTGCTTTTATCGTGGAGATAAAATAAATTGCCTTTTCACGATAAACGAAGCAGTCTTTAATGTCAATTAGTACGACAGGTAGTGTATGAATAGACGTCGTCGTGTACAGTGTGTTGTTTGTGTTTACGTTCTCTGTAAAAATTTTCATTTTTCGTGTTACAATGAACAAACGACGTGATTTGAGTGTAGAAGAAAAATTAGATGTTCTTAAAAAATATGACGAGCTTCCGCAAATGAGCCAGCGACAAGCAGCATGTAAGTTAAACGTGTCTCAAAGTTTACTAGGTAGGATGCTAAAAAGTCGACAGAAAATCGAAAAGGCTCATATGGTTACAGTAAAATTCAAACATATTAACCTCACATTTTTACCCTCTAACACTACATCAGTTATACAACCATGTGATCAGGGGATTATACGCACTTTTAAAGCATATTACAGAACAGGCATGAGAAAGAATGTGATCAATGTGATTGATGCTAACCTGGAACAAGAATTATGTACCTTACGTGCTCATGAAATCGCTAAAAAAATAACTGTACTTGAAGGTTTGCATTTAGCCTATGAAGCGTGGAATATCGTCAGCAAAATCACAATACGCAATTGTTTCCGACAAGGTGGTTTCATTATCAGTCCAAAAGAAGTTGAAGCTGTTGTTGAAAGACCCGCTGACCTAACAACTGAACTTTATAATGAATGGATAAATATAGACGAAGAAGTCCAAACTACCGAACTCGTTACCGAGGAAGATATATGTGATGAAATACAGTCAAAACGGCCAAAAGAGAATGTGGCTGGTGATAGTGATGAAGAGGAACCTGATGAAAAACCACCATCAACTAAACAAATGCTAGAAGCGCTTCAAATTCTACGCAGAGGGATTCAGCAAAGAGGCGATTTTGACGTATTCGAGCAACATAAATCCTACGAAAATGGCCGAAGACGGAAAAGTCCAATCAACCCTAGATGAATTTTTATCAAAAAATTAGTTTCATTAGTGTTTTATTGACATTTATGACTACTGTCATTATTATTTATTTTGTTATTTAACTTTGTATAATATTACAAATATACATATTATATAGTCTTCGTAGGATTTTAATTTTTGTCTCGTCTTTACCTCTTATATAATATGAATATATATATATAAATATTAGTGGACGCCGTTTATTAGACTCATTCGGTTAATGGACTCAAATGGTCAGGTCCCAAAGTGAGTCCAATAAGCGGCGTCCATTGTATTAGAATTAATAGGATTCAAAATGAGAACTTTTTCAACTTGACTTTTGAAAGTTTTAATTTTATAATGCTATAACTTTTTGAAAAATGTATAGATCATTATAATTTTTTATGTTCACTACTATTAATATATTTCTTTTATGCGACATAATTTTTTTTAAATAAAACAGTTTCTCTTTATATATTGATTCATATATTATACTTATAAATCATAAGACTTATAATGAGGATATAAATAAGGAAATAGGAGATTAGGTAGCTTTTGGAATAATCAACCGATTATTTAAAATTAAACATTATTTACAGATTTGCATTAAAGCATTTTTTTATGGTAGTGATTTTAATCACTATCAGATATTTTCTATACTGTACCCAACAATGCCACGTCCCCACTGAGCCGCGACTCCACCGTGCTGAGTTTTTTTTTATAATTAAAAATTTAGATGAATTAAATAATCCAGTTGAAAAACATGCCAAATAATATTGATTTTTCTGTGGATGTCTTTGTTAAAATAAAAAATCATAGATATTCTTTAATTTTTATGTTTTATTAGCTATTAAAATTGTGTATATATATTAGGGTGGTTCTTAAAATTAATTTAGTAAAATTTAAAAATTATACAATCTCAATTAGTTCCAATACTTATAAAAATGAGTTACACAATGTTTCAGGTAAATCAGAAAAGATTAACCCGTGCCACAAAAGGCCTAAAGTATAACCGTACATTTTTCATTGTTTTTTTTGTTCAGCGTGTGATATAATGGATTCAAAACAAAATTGTAAAACCAACAGTTGTTTAAAATAATATTTTTCACAAATTATATTCTGAAAAATCTTTTGATTTACTTATTATTTATATATAAAAAGTCAATATATATAACTTTGTTGTTAAAAACTCACAAAATAAAGTGAATGTTATTTGTAGTTTTTCAACTCGTGGTAATTTTCGTAAAATATCATAATATCAATGTATAATCTTGAATAAACTTTTATCAAGCCATCAAGTCACAATTTATTACAAGAATGACTAAAAAGACGATAAAATCTTTATCAAAACCCATTACTAATATTTGTCCTAACTATACATTTTTCAGGTTATTGTTTTCATTAGTTCTACTGCGCCCGTATGATCATTTTGATATTTTAACATTTTTTTAATACATATTAAAATGGTTTCACGGAAAACTTTACGAAAATATACATTTATATTTTTGATTAGTTTCCCATCAAACCAAATTATTGGTAGTAAATTACCGTCAATAAGACAAGTACTATCGGTTTTTATTTTTAATATTTGTCATGTTAACCTGAGCATACTTGAAAGCTCTAAACTGACAATAAAAGAGGTAAGTATTTTTTGGCAAAAAGCGCGTATATCTATCAGTGCTGAACAGTATTGCATAAAAAAACTTCAAAAATATTACGATGAATGGAGAAATTTACAAAAACTGCAATACAGAAAATCTGAAACCCAAGCAAAAAAAAAAAAATGAAGAATCTAGTTCAAAACTAAATGATTTGTTTGACATTGCTCAAGTTGATGCCCTTAATTTAATGTTATTACAAGAAGATAGAGATTTTTTATTAATGCAAAGACAAAAAGGACGTCCTGGTATATTATGTTGGGAGTTGATAGGAATATTGCACAAAAAGAAAAAAAAGCCAATAAAAGGTTAAAGATGTCCGAAAAAAGACGTAAAAGAAGTTATGACGAGATACAGTCATTGAGTAAGTTTAATGTTGTTTTTGATTTATTATTTAATAATTAAGTATGTATTTTAGATGCGCAAGTAGAAATGTGCTCATCATCAGAGTCTAACGTAGCTGAAGATGATTTTAACAAGTCTGGACCGTCTAAAATGTACGTTAAACAACCAACTAGAGGAAGTATTGATTTTATTACGCCAAAACTTGCAGCTGCACTCGATAAATGCAAAATTAGTTATAGAGATGCAGTTCATATATTAATTTCAACAGCAAAGGCATTAGGTGAGAACGTTGAAAAATTAATTATAAATAGATTTTCAATTCGAAACTCACGCATACGTTTCCGTAAAGAACGCGCTGAAAAAAATCCGTAATAATTATTTGATAACTATTAATGATTCCGTTGTCATTCATTGGGATGGTAAACTTTTACCTTCATTAACAGGACAAAAAAGTGTTGATCGACTTCCCATTATTGCTTTATGTAATGGTGAAAGTCAATTACTAGGAGTTGCAGCAATTGATACGGGAACAGGGGTTGATCAGACTGATGCTATTTTTCATATACTTATTGATTGGTGTATTACAGAAAATGTATAGGCTTTTTGCTGTGATATTACGGTTTCAAATATGAGTTGATTAAAAGGTACTTGCGTGTTATTAGAAAACTACTTAGAACGTAATATTTTGTACTTGCCATGTCGACACCACATCTACGAGCTAATATTAAAATGTGTTTTTGAAGTTAAATTATGTCTAACATCTGGTCCTGATGTACCAATATTTAAACGGTTTCAACAAAATTGGAAAAATATAGATACTAACAAATTTGAGCCAGGTATAATGAACGACATTGTAAAAGAAACATTAAATGATGTATGTACTGATGTAACTAACTTCGAAAATAACTATTTGCTTATCAAACAATCCAGAGAAGATTACAGAAAGTTTTTAGAACTAACAATTATTTTTTTTGGCGGAGTTCCACTAAGGGGAGTTTCCTTTAGAGTTCCGGGAGCTATCCATCATGCTAGATGGATGGCAAAAGTTTTATATTGCTTAACAATATTTATATTCCGAAACCAATTAAATTTAACCCAAAAAGAAAAAATGTCAATAGCTAGTATTTGTATATTTATTATTAGATTATACGTAAGAGCTTGGTTTAGTGCACCACTTGCTTCTATTGCACCATACCAAGATTTAAATTTTTTAAAAGATTTGGTAAATTATCAGTCAATAGATAAAAATATAACAGAAGTTACAGTTAAAAAAATGTGATGAAAATTTCAAGATAT